AAATGCCATCGTGTAGTTTTAGGAAAAAAGTTGCAAAGTATGATCTATTATGCTAAAAACCTAATCCAGATATCCAACAAATACTGAAGTCCAACATTATACACAGCTTTAAAAAGAAATAATGCTATATTCAGCATACATCCAAGAGTCAATTTTGTGAAAATATCAGAGCCACAATGACAAGTGGCCCCTTCCTTCAAAGATATAAAATGTCATTATAAACTGACTTCATCCATGAGTATGACTAATGCATGCAGATGAGATTACTTTCATCCTCCTAGTATTCTATTAAGGTGCTTATATTCATATTTCTGGTATAACACTTCCTTTACTGTCACTCCGAATTTTCTTGTTAGGTGTACTTTGTTCTTCTGTCTCCTACAAGACGTCAGAAACCTATCTTAGTCATTTGCATATGTAGCAGCATCCAATAGATAATGAATGCTTGTTGAATAAAATATAAAAGTTTAAGTCAGTTCTATGCAATATTGATGTAAGAGATAGTAGTGACATGTCTCTATTCCAATTCGTTTTACTACTTAGGCATAGTGTTCAAAGTTCCCAGGTCGGTGTTAATGTCACTGCTGAATTTACCTTGGAGAAGGCACCAAAGCTAACCACAGCAGAGACATTGTCACTCACAGCAGTGTTGTGATTAGTCAATTGTCTTTGGTCGTGTTATCTATTGCCATCCTTCACACCGCAGCTGGTTCTTATCAGTGCGTCATGTGCGTCATGTCCATCCTTATTCACGGTTACCTGTTCTTTGGGAATAAGGCTTTGAGAGAAATTCAGCCCATATTAAGCTAGAACAGTACTTTCTAGACAGGTATCTCAAAATGTTGTTATCAGAGTGAGCCTGGGTCAACATAATACTGGGGGGAAATGAATTAGTTTTTAAAAATTCATTGCTGTTTTTAAAAGTCCAATGGCTTTTCTCCTTGGCAAGTCAGGTTTCTGTGTATCTGGTTGTAGACACTTGTCAGATGAGTTGAAACTGAAGCTCTGGCTACCAGTGATAGAGAAGGATCCTTTGCTATGCAGCATCACACTTGTCAATGTATACCAGAAGCAGTCTGAAGGAAAGGTCTGACCACATGAGGACACAGAAGGAGTTAATCTTTAAACCATTAGTAAGCAAGAAAAATGGAAGAAGCAGGAGCCTATGTACCACAAAGGTAACTTCAACCACTACAATAATCACTGAGACCACAATGGGTCAAAATGGATGATGGATGTTAAGCAACACTTCCTATGACAAAGAACAGTGGCAGATTAATCATATCCAAACAAGCAAACTTGGTGACAATGTCAACCCAATCTAAGATTAAAACAAAACTCTTTTGATGTTAAATTTGATGTTCTTTGAACAATTTGTTAAAGATTATTTTCATTTTAGTACAACACATCTAGATGGCTATGAAATAGTTTTAAATATTTTAGTTTTGTTAATATCCTTCTAACTTTTATTCATGCTCTTAAAGTAGGAAATAGAGGAAACATACACACCTTATACAGAGTTTCATCCCAGATAGATGTTCGGAAACAAGAACATTCTAATGGACGAGATAAACGTCTTAAGTCTTCTTCTCGTTCTTTAAAAATCTGAATTAAAAAATTCAACAAGTGGATCAGCATGTAACAGCTCTCCTTCACTGCAAAATCAGAGGTTAATTAATTTATCATATTTTGACAAGGACCTTTTACTCTGTCTTCATAAGAACCTTGAGTATTATTTCCCAAACAAGAGGTTAAACATGTTACTGGCTGTTAGATTTCTTTAGGCTTATCCTGCTTTTGCTGAATATTCATATGAAGCACTGGGAGAAAACAAAATTTATCATACAGAGGTGTCTTAAAATATATGTACACTCCATTCTACCAAATCTAGGTTATTTTATTATGGTAATACCTATATTAAAATTTTGCAAATCTAAACATGTTTTAGTTCTCTAGCATTATAGAAATACCCCTTAATAACATATATTATATACATATATGCAAACATATATATACTTATATGTATCGTATACTTAATTTGCAAACACATATATAACCCACAAAAACAACTAAGCTCTAGCCAGCTAGGGTTTTTTCCTATGTATACATCCCCACACATACAGAGAAAATAGCTATAAAAAACATGTATATTCAGATATGTTTCCCTGAGATTGCTGCGAAGTAAACTTGGAATTTCATCCTGTAAGCAGATCAATTACAGTGAAAATTAAATGCAAAATTCTATGAGGTATCTTATTGGAAAGCATGGGCACTACTGGCTATGACAGAACATGATTATGGAGAGTGGAACTGATCTTGAGGATGTTAGGGATGCCCACTCTGCCCAAGGAAGCAGTCACTACATCCTTATTTAAGAATAATCCAACTTTTCCTGAAGAAGCTGAAATGGACTCCTCAGAGGTAGCTATAAGAGAGTGCTGATTCATTCCTTCCATACCTCTTTGCTTCTAGCTCTATACACATTCAAGTATCAAAAGATTCTTAAAGGTGAGATACAAAGCACGGACCATGAGGAATTATTCTACCCTCTAAAAGAACTATATGATTTCTCCAGTAAATATAGACCAAAATATGAGGATAACTATATGAACAGATATTAAAGGTGTAGGAATATGGTAGAAGGAACACAACATTCACTCAGACCAAATTTATTGACATGGATCTAATAAGCAGAAGATTTATAGGTGAAAAGTTAAGAAAGTGTTTTGCTTGTTTAGTTCCTGCCTAAGACATGAATCAAAACATAACCTATATTAAGGTTAAAATGTCAGACCTGCACTAATATGCTACACAGGAAGGAATCTAACAGCTTAGGGAGTTCACAATGTTCAAGGTTTGTCATTGATCACCTATTCACCAATAATGGGAGGTTCCAGAACAAATGACAATGAGAAACACATTTGTAAGAGAAACCCCAACTTCCTTCCCCAGTTCTCTTACCACTTTCATCTGTAGGCCAAAATTTACAGTGGTAATTGCTACCACTTAATTGGGAAACCTAAATACAAAGGGGAAGTGAGTACTACAGTAGCAAGAGCAATGTGGAAACATTTTATCATCAAATACAAGGAGAGTACCCTTATTTGATTGGACAGAAGAGCCAAAGTACCAATTCACAGAAACCTATAGTTTTGGCTAACGCATCATAGTGCTCCTATAAATAATTTAGAAGGGGTATCTACCACATTCTTTTTTTTTTTTTTTTTTGGTTTTTCGAGACAGGGTTTCTCTGTATTGTTTAGGAGCCTGTCCTGGAACTCGCTCGGTAGAACAGGCTTGGTCTCGAACTCACAGAGATCCGCCTGCCTCTGCCTCCCGAGTTCTGGGATTAAAGGCGTGCGCCACCACCGCCCGTACCACATTCTTATATGATCTATACAAATGAAATAATTTAGGTCAAATGATCAAATATCCAGCACAAATTGTAAAATGTCATAGCTTCTCAACTGGCATCCAGATTTGTGTCACTTTATGAATCTAGAATCCCTTGAATGAAAGCAGAGGTTGGGTCAATTTAAGAAAAGGTGCTGGCTAGGCAGTGGTGGCCCACGCCTTTAATCCCAGCACTCGGGAGGCAGAGGCAGGCAAATCTCTGAGTTCAAGTCCAGCCTGGTCTACCGAGAGAGTTCCAGGACAGACTCCAAAACAATACAGAGAAACCCTGTCTCAAAAAAAACAAAAAAAAAGAAAAAAGGTGCTGACACAACTCCTCAGTTTGACTATTCAGTTTCTATAGAAGACATGGCTCTTATAAAGTGAGTATCATATGCTTAAGAAGTTTCTGACTGCAAGTACAACTACTGGACCAGATGTAGTTAAAATATCAACTCTTCTATTGGCATAGGAATCAAATTTCCCCTTTGTATTTAAGAAGGCTATTGACTTGTTAATTTTGTATCCTACTACTTGGCTGAATGTGCTTATAGCTTGGGAGTTTTCTGGTGGAATATTTAGGGTCTTTTATGTACAGAAACACATATCATCTAAAACTAAGGCTACTTTTACTTCTTCCTCTCCTGCATATTCTTCCTTTCAGTTCTCTAGCCTATCTTCCCTGCTCCCCAGGGTTCAGATTACTTCCAGAGAAGGCTTCCAGAATGAGTTGAGCTAATTCCTTAAATGAAATACTCTCCCATTCCTTTGTGTCTTGGTTTTTCTATACACAAACACATCTGATTGGGTCTGTTTCTCTGGAAAATTCAAACATACATACAAATATTTATATTAGCTAAAATTGCTATTTTGAGAAGCACTTATAGTAATTTTTATTTTAATCTTTTCAGTCTAATATTTAATGAAATTAATGATTGTCACAACTAAGTTAAGAATCTCTTCAGGAATCTCTTCAGGACAGCCTCTAAAACAATACAATACAGAGAAACCCTGTCTCGCAAAACCAAAAAAAAAAAAAAAACCAAGAATCTCTTAAAGACTATTAATATATATTTGAGAATATATAAGCATTTAAAAAACAGTAAGAGAAATTGCAAGTGAATGAAACATTGAAAAGGAGCTCATTTGTTTAAATGTTCCAGCTTTTTATTGCAATTTTGACTAAAAAATATTTTTTTAAAAAATGTGGTGTACTGGGGATTTGATTCAAGGTATCAAATAGGCCAGACAGCACTCTATCACTAAGTTACAACCCCAGCTCTTGAAATTACTTTTAAAATAACTGAATAAGGAGCTAGAGCATTTGCTGATCCTGCAGAGGGCTCAAGGTCAGTTCATGGTTCCCAGCACACATATCAGGTGGCATACAACCAATTGTAATTCCTGCTCCAGGGTATCTGACTCCCTCTGTGGCTTACATAATATGGTTTCCTTACTAGAGCTATTACCAAAAAATTCTTTAGTATGAGGCACTCCTTAAGATATCCTCCAAGGCGGTCTCCCTCTTGTGTATGTCTTAGTGTCGGAATTAAGAGTTGCCTGGAGTGTAACGGGAGCATTTTTCTGTTGGTTCTGTTTTTCAGTGTGTTCAACATTCGGCCTCACCCGTAATCCACCACCATGGCCGAGGAAGGCATTGCTGCTGGAGGCGTAATGGACGTCAATACTGCACTTCAGGAGGTGCTGAAGACCGCTCTCATCCACGATGGCCTCGCACGTGGCATCCGCGAAGCTGCCAAAGCCTTAGACAAGCGCCAAACCCATCTCTGTGTGCTTGCATCAAATTATGATGAGCCCATGTATGTCAAGTTGGTGGAGGCCCTTTGTGCCGAGCACCTGATCAACCTAATTAAGGTTGATGACAACAAGAAACTAGGGGAATGGGTAGGCCTCTGTAAAATTGATCGAGAGGGGAAACCACGGAAAGTGGAAGGTTGCAGTTGTGTAGTGGTTAAGGACTATGGCAAAGAATCTCAGGCCAAGGATGTCATAGAGGAGTACTTCAAGTGCAAGAAATGAATAAATAAAAAATTTTTGCTCAAAAAAAAAAGATATTCTCCAAGCCAAGGAGAAACTATATTCTTGTATAATCTAAAACTGCTTTACTTAGTACTTCTCTATGACATAGAGAAGGATTTTCTTTTTTGTCCTATTTCTTACTATCTAACGTGCTTATTTTACCCTGAGCAAACTGAAGGTAAGACTGTGTCTATGTTTTACCAGACCCAGATCTCATTGAGTCCTCTCTGAATTATAGGTCATTAATTTTATGTGTTTTTGTTAAGATGAAGGTTGATATTTCCTACTCCACCATCCTTGGTCATCTTTGAGTCATACAAATTCATTTATGCCAGTACAATTGTGAGGGACTGTGATTAGCATCTGACACAGTGTGGCAGGTACTCGAACTGGTACCTACCAGTTTCCTAAATTAGTCCAATGATAGCAGACACCTCTCCACATCTTACCCCTGGTGGGTCTTTTAGCTGTGACAATGGGGGGAGAAAACTATTTTTTAAATGACAAAGGTTAGTGAAAGTACATAGTCAGATCTTACCTAGTTCTGAAATACAGAATGCTACAAATTGACCTACACTTTTATAAAGGAAGTCAAGCATGCTAACCATTTGGCATAGCACCTTTTCAGTTTCTTACCAAGTCTCGCTGATCCTCCTGTACCAAATCCATTTTGTGTACCAAGCAAAAGATTTTGGCTTCTGGAGAATTCTGCAGAATGGCCTCAAGACACGACTGATAGTAGTGCATGTCCTTCTCAAGTTCACGGCTCTCCACATCAAAGACATAAATAAGAACCTCCACATTTCGAAAGATGTTGTCACGCTGGCTAGTGAAATAATTTTCCATGAAGGTGTCTTGTCTGGTAGGAAAGAAAATCTAGATAGTAAACAGATCCTCTATTCAACCACTCCTCCTTGAAATTTTTTAGCTTGATCAAAAGAAACACAATCTTCGATTCAAAGAGCAAGTAACAGCTAAACATGTTGAGCTCTACCTTACTCTACTTCAGAGTTTTAACTTGCAATCCTGTAAAATGTTTTGTTTTGTTGTTGCTGTTTTTGAGACAGGGTCTCAATATGTATTGCTGCCTGGACTGGAATTCATTATGTAGAACAACAGGCCGGCCTCAAACTCATGTCTAGCTTCTGCCATTTCAGTTTAAACACACTTACCTTCTGCTCATTCTTTGAGTGGCTGATGGCTCAACTCATGAATCTTTTATACATACTGATCACTCTTTCACACACTGCTTGTCTCCTTCATGTAACTGATTCTGCCTTCTTCTTTAAGATTTCAATCCAATTCATACGTCCTCATAGAAACCATCCCTATCTTGAGTCAGCTCACTCACTGTAGGCTCTTTACCAACACACCTTTCTTATTTAAAACACTTACACCAGTGCAACACTGTACTTATTTGGGTGAGTTTTTAATTAATAGTGTTCAATTCCCTATACAACCAGACAAGGATCATCTTAGATATTATCTCCCACTGTCTCAAAGCTTTTAAAAGCTTAATGAACATTTGCTGAATAACTTCACAGTCAAATATTCTAAATTATATGAAAATGATTCCAATGGTGACTTTTCAGCAGAATGTTACTATCTGTTCCTAGGTTGGATGCCACTTTCCAGAAAGATCTTAAAAGCTGGACAGCAATAAAACAGTAGTGCCATTTAGTGGTGTATATGGGGAGGTGTTTACAAATTTCTAACCCTGCACCTTGCTAATTATAGCTGTGTAACACTGGAAGAATCATAATTTCCCTAAATTACAGACACTTGATCTACAAAACTGAATTCCTTATTTTAGTACCTAAACCCAAAGAACTTGGGTAAGTCTGTTGACATAGATTAGAGAATTGGGAGCAATTACAGTGAGGGAAGATTTATATTCTAAGGTGTTAATCCAGTTGCTAACAAGAAAAGAGTTACTTTTTTTTTGAGACAGGGTATCTCTGTATAACAACCCTGGCTGTCCTGGAACTAACTCTGTAGACCAGGCTGGCCTCAAACTCATAGAGATCTGTCTGCCTCTGCCTACACCACCGCCTGGCTAAGAGTTACTGTCTTAAGAGTTTTTAGTTCTTACATTATTCTGTCAAAATACTCACTGAGCATCTTTTGTATGTTTGGAGCTGGGAAATACCCACCGGACAATAATATCTATTTTGTAAGATACTACAATGTATATTTTATATATTTTAACCTGTTAACTCATCATAATAAACCTATGAGTTGGTTATTTTGTTCTATTGTACAGGTGAAGCTACAGTACAGAGTTTGAATAATATATACCAGACAAAGAACCTATGGTCTTTTTTTTTTTTTTGGTTTTTTGAGACAGTGTTTCTTCTGTGGCTTTGGAGGCTGTCCTGGAACTAGCTCTTGTAGACCAGGCTGGCCTCGAACTCACAGAGATCCGCCTGCCTCTGCCTCCCAAGTGCTGGGATTAAAGGCGTGCACCACCAACGCCCGGCAAGAACCTATGGTCATAATCACTGTGCATTACACTCTCTGTGCTTCAGCACAGAGAGTATTTGACCTTAAAGCAGGCAACAACATCAGCTCAGAGGCATAGTAAGTATACATTTGTGCTGGAATTTTTGATGATTGCCTTGATTATGAAAGGAAATGCTTTGCTACTCTTCCAACAGTAGGTAACTTGGCCAGATAATATATGCTCAGAATCCAATCTACAGTGATAAGACTGTCTAGAAGTAATTACTAAAATGACTATGGCCAGTCTAGTACAACAAATAATAACTAAGAACTCAATACTGGTGTCAGTCAACCTGAGAAATTTAATTTATGTCACTGCAAAAGAGGGGTAATCTATCCCATAGTATACATACTTAGATGGAGCTTATATTGGAACTACTTAACTATTGTCTTATGTAGAGGGCATTTTAAAAAGTGTACAAAACACAGATCTTTCATCAACTGACGATTCAGAAATAGTTTTTAAGCAATGCATCAATGCAAATGTAGTCATTTTAGGTGTTATTTGTTATGCTGATTATACTAGATGACATTGTTACTGCCATCAGTTTCACCAACAAGTAGGCACATGGTACTTACCCACCACAATCCCACAGGTTCAAAACCAGGTTTCCCAGAAATCGAACATGAGAATGTTCTACATCAACTGGAAGATAAATGTTACAAATCTAGCATTTGTAGTAAAGAACATTAAGATAAGAAAAACACTAGCCCATGGTGTTTAGAAGGACCAAAGTGGAGTGAAATGCTCAAAGCCATAACAAGAAGGTGATTTTCAGTTTAGTTATGTGGTTTAGTGGCAAGGTAGGCACCTATACTACCCTAAGCTAAGGAATTGGCTTGTGTCAGTCATTTTTAAAATTCAGTAGTTTAGTACCCAAAGCAGAAACAATCTCCAATTATAATATTAATGTTAAATTTTAACACGCAAGACAGTTACATACACCATTTAATAGATCTTCTCACCCCACCTTATTTCACCAGCTTCCCCACAAAAATTAAAGACAGAAAACAAACACAAAACAAACATAAAACAAAAACAAACTAACTCCTGTACTGACTTCCTCTTCAGTTAATGACTCCATTGGTTCTTCTATTTTTGGATTCCCCTGACCATGTTCACTTCTCCTTTGAGTTCTTTTTAGTATCTTTTAAATCCATTCTTTATTTTTATAATTCATTACCCAACATCAAGGAGGGCCCTTATTACCTCATGCCTATTCTACAAGAAAGCCTTACTTCCTTTACATTATCCACTAGGCTACTGGAAGGTTCATCTTCTTAACACTACTTTGAACATATCACTCCCCATTCAAAACACTTTCAATGGCTCCTCCATGTTTAATGAGGGTGCACTCAAGGTCCTTCACACTTTTGGCTTCCAGTCTATCTTTTTAATCCCCAGCAATTTATAATAACAAATCCTCTCACTTCAACACAATTGTTTTATTTATAGTCCTCCCAACCCTACTACCTCCCCAACCCAACATATTTTACCTTCAGGGGTCGCAAACTTGCTAAATCAAGCCATGTGAGCAAACCTATACCATTAAAGCTGCCTAAATGTCAGTGTAAACATCTACCAACCGGCTAACAGAAGTTGATAGTTACTGAAATCTTGCTCAATTGCCATGAAAAATTACTGGTTCAGGTTTACTAGATCTTTAACATTTTAAATAGTAACTTGGATTTTATGAAAACTTTTACAAGAGATTACTACTTCCAATTTTTCTAAAACATTGTGCAGGCCAAAGAAAGCACATCTATGGGACTTATCCAGCATACAGGCTGTCTGTTTGCGACCTCTGTTTAATTGCTCCCTCCCACAATCCATTGCCTTTTCCATCCTTTGCTACAAAGCACCACCCCTTCTTCCTTTCAAAGGTAATCCTAAAACCCAGACTAGTTCCCACCTCCTCCAAAAGTCCTTGCCTGACAAAAATCCCATTTACCATTATCTCTCTGTATGAACTCATTCAAACATTTAGTAAGCAACTACTCTCTGCCAGGCACTAAAAACATCAAGAAGGGAAAATTTAAGATTTTACAATGAATATTTCTCAAATTCTAGTTATTTTGTTCCATATAATTTATGTGCTAGCTAACTCAATTACATTGTAATATTTCCTGTATCTATCCCTAAGCAGTTACCTAAACTAACTGCTATCTACATTTGTACAATTTTATCTTCTTATAATATATAGACACAAACCACCCATGATAAAGTAAATCATACAGATTTTAAAGTCAAACAGAATTTAGTTTATATGGCAATTCTATCTCTGTATGACTTTGTCCAAGTCATGAAAGCTTTTAGAATTAGCTTCAACTTCTGTGAAAAAGAAGGAAGGAACATGGTATTGAACTCACAGGACTGCTGTGAGGATTCAAAGAGCTATGTACATCAAGTGCCTGGCACATAGTAGGTGCTCAAACTACTTCCCTTTTCCCCTTTACTTCCCCCTCCTTGGAAAAAGAATCATATCTTACATGTCTTTGTA